GGTTGCACATGTACAATAGCACGCATGGCTTTACTATTTCAACTTACACTGCAAATAGGTATCCGGTGTTCCCTCGTGTATCACCTGGAGGCCCATGTCTGCCAATTGCTCCTTTGGGTCCTTGTCGACCCTTTGGGCCTTGTATACCGATCTGGCCTTTCTGGCCAATAGAACCCAAATAGCCCTTTGGTCCCCGAATCGATGGCTCTCCCTTCTGGCCTTGTAGACCCTCGGGTCCTTTGGGACCCCGGATCCCATCTATTCCCGGCTGGCCCTTTTCACCTTTTGCTCCCATTCTTCCGGGCTGGCCCTGTCCACCCTTCTGGCCGGGGATCAGTGCCGCTGGTTGGCCCGGGGGTCCACTTGGACCCTTCGGACCTCTGATGCCCATTTCACCAGGGGGCCCATGTGGACCATTCTCCCCAGGCATGCCTGGAGCTCCAGTTTCGCCGGGCTTCCCGTGGCGACCATAAAGTCCTGGAATGCCCTTCTCTCCGATCGGGCCTGGCGGGCCAAACGGGCCCTTTTAAGAAGGAAAGACAAATCAGGATAATAAATGAACGAGCCATCATTGGATGGATTAGCTAAGAAAAAGGTGCCTTTTACATTAATAAACCATTCCATTAGGTAATTCCAAATAAATGTATTCCGAGTAAAGTTTTTTCCCTATATTCATATTTAAAATTATATACTTTCAAGCATAGTATTATGCAACTCTTTGTCTTACTATAGGCGTGAGTGGCCGAGCAAATAATTATATTGAACTGAATTAAGGGTCACTGCAAGTGATAGCTTGAATTATTCCTTTTTTTAGCATTCCACTTAATTATATACGACTATCAGCTTTCTCTTTTTATCTCTATTTCAGTTATCATAAATTGTTGATTTTCAAAAGAGCACACCCCAACTAGGTTTGTATAAGCAAGTAAGAAATTGGGATATTTAAAGGGTGATACCAGTATATGGGATAGATGAATACCCCAGGACAGAAGGAAACATACCAATAT